CGGAAAATCAGAAATTCAGAAATTCGGAAAATCAGAAATTCAGAAATTCAGAAATTCGGAAATTCAGAAATTCAGAAATTTAGAAATTCAGATATTCAGAAATTTTGAAATTCAGAAATTCGGAAAATCAGAAATTCAGAAATTCAGAAATTCGGATATTCAGAAATTCGGAAATTTAGAAATTCAGATATTCAGAAATTTGAAATTCAGAAATTCAGAAATTCAAAAATTTAGAAATTCAGATATTCAGAAATTTTGAAATTCAGAAATTCGGAAAATCAGAAATTCAGAAATTCAGAAATTTAGAAATTCAGATATTCAGAAATTTTGAAATTCGGAAATTCGGAAAATCAGAAATTCAGAAATTCAGAAATTCGGAAATTCAGAAATTCAGAAATTTGAAATTCAGAAATTCAGAAATTCAAAAATTTAGAAATTCAGATATTCAGAAATTTTGAAATTCAGAAATTCGGAAAATCAGAAATTCAGAAATTCAGGAGTTCAGAAATTCAGAAATTCAGAAATTTAGAAATTAAGATATTCAGAAATTTTGAAATTCAGAAATTCAGAAATTCAGAAATTCGGAAATTCAGAAATTCAGAAATTCAGAGATTCAGAAATTCAAAAATTCAAAAAAAAAATCGGAAATTGAATTAGTTTTTTCTTTACAGTAATCCCGAATTTTTTACAGTAATCCCGAATTTTTTTCCGAGACACATCTCTCACATGCTCTGTAAACGTGAGAATTCCAATTTCAGACATCAGTTTTCTCCAACGACTACAATAAACAGACTTCCTGGTCAAAAAAGATACAAAGTGATCTATTGATTAGTTCGTGACTTTTCAGATGTCGTGCTTCATGCTTTTCGTATTCGTAGTCTTATGTATCACTGTTCAGAAATAGGAAATTAGAAAAATGCTCATCCAACTGTTAAGAGCACAACAACGGACATGACTAACTAGAATAATTGTGATCATTCTCTCTAAAAATGTCAACTATTATTACCACTGTCTCCTTATCAGCTCTCGTATTCTCATTCATTAATGTCCTACTTAATCTGTACCTTTTATTTATGGTTTTTTGTAAATCGAAATTCTCAAAGAACAGTTCTGGATTGTTTTTGATCTATTTCAGGTTCGCTGTGGACATGCTTTATTCCTTTGCTAGTAAGAACACATGTTTCTTGACTCTTAACTTTGACCTGACTAAAAACCATTTTCAGCGACAATCCACTTCACATACAATATCCTCAGAATGCTATCTCCCGACCTGGTAGTCAAGAATTTATCATTTTTCATCGCTTGGCCTAACCTAATTTTTGGAAGCATTCGATCATGGACCGTCCTTTTTATAACTATTGACCGAGTTTTAGCAACCTGCATTCCTATTATCTATCACCTTCACAGATCCAAATTTCCTCTTTTGGCAGTTTCAATCTATATTTTTGCCTACGTGCTCTTTGAGCAATACATCTTGTTTGGAATTTGCGCATTTATCATTGATGTTCCGTTGAGTTGTGCAAACTTTGGATGCACTACAAACCCTTGTTATCACGACTATTGGGAGTATTATGAGCAGGTTTGTTAGGGTTTAGAAAATAATAAAACCATAGGTTTTGAGATAATGCATTTTTGTGTGGGTACATTATCTGTGCTATTATGCTTCCGCTTGTTCGTTTGGAACAATTGCTCACACTCTACTAACAATCAGACAATATCGAGAGTGAGTATATCTACAGTACCGGTCAATAAGATATATATATATATATATATATATGTTTACAAAAAATATTGCTCAGTTGATTTTCAGCCATTTAGACCATTTTCAGAATTCTAGAGCTCGGCTGTCAGAATTTTTTAAAAGTTTCTAGTTTTTCAGCTATTTGCTCAATTCTGAGAAACACCCCTTTTTGGCCTGTTTTTGTACTGAAAACGTGAAAGTAACAGGTGTCCTTCAGAAATCGGCAAACAGCTCAAAAACTAGGAATTTCCAGAAAATTCTGTAAATGCAAAGTTCTCAATCTAGATCTGTTTTACAACCTCCAACATTGTCAAAGTGATCGAACACTGGACAGCCGAACTCCAGACTCTAGAAAAAGATGACAATCAACTGAACAATTCGTTTTTGTATATCTCATAGATTGGTACTGTAGTTTGAGACATCCGCTACACTATGACAAGACAATCTAGTTCCCGTTCTCATTAGAAAACTGGAAATCTTTGACTTTAATTTATTATCCAATTTGAGCGGGCACTCACTTTGTCCTCTTCGCTCCCTGAACTACCATTGTGACTACTTGGTATACGGTAAATGTATTAAAAGAGGGGAGACATTAAGCACTTAGCCCAGTTTATATAAGCCCTTTGAGCATACTTGTAACGGACCGCGCCGGGCCGTGCTGTGCTTTTTTTCCGAATTTCGGAGGCCCGGCCCGACCCGCGGGCCCGTCATTTCACAAGTTTTGGAAATTTCAAAAAACACATAAGGGGGGCCCTGAGCTCAAAATTTGGCTCAAAAATACAGGATTTTTGATACCGAGCCTTCCGGGCCGGCCCGGAATTTTACAAGTATGCCTTTGAGGAGATGAGGGCCCATAGTTGGAGGTGCCGCGTAGCCACAGCCTAATTACTTCAAATCCAGATTTCCCCAATTTTTTCAGGCAACTCGAATTTCGCTCCTCGACTCATTCATCATTTTTGTCTTCGACCTTCTTCCCATTTTTCTGATGAGCAACTTCCCAGAAGTCAACTTTCGATCTGTTGGACCTTTAAGTGCTCTTTGTAAAAACTTTGGATTCGTAATTGAATCGATCATTACATGTGGAGTACTAATTGGTAAAAATCAGCAAGTACAACCAGGCTCCGTCACTAGAATCTCTCGATCTGTTATTGTACCGACCTAATAAGTTTGAATGAAATATTTTGAGAACATTGATTAAACGAATTCCGCACCCACGTTGTTCTGCACATTAGAGCTCATGTGCGCTCATTGGAGTGTGAAGTCGAAGGCTTACATCATTATCTAGTTTTGAAATATTTCGTTTTCTTCCTCATTTTGTTGAAAAATGTATGTCCCGGTTTTGATAACGGCTTCATCAGCCTTGTTCCTATCCCTGAATACTTTTTACTTGAATTCTTACATTCTTTTGGCTATTTTCTGTTTGAAGAAAGCCCAGAAAAAATCTGATATGACTCTTATCTATTCAAGGTTTGCAGTGGATGTGGTTTACGCGCTTTGTAGTAAGTTTCAGATATTCACAGTACCATATTTTCCAATGGATCTTAGGTAATTTCCAGGAGTCTGGAGCTCGGTTGTCCATTTTCCGATCACTTTGAAAGGTTGGAGGGTGTAAAACAGACCTAGATTGAAAACTTTGCATTCACAGAATTTTTTGAAAATTCCTGGTTTTTCAGTTACGTGCCGATTTCTGAAAGACACTTTTTTGCGTTTTCAGTACACATGGGCACAAAAAAGAGTGGGGCGGGTGGATTTTCAAAAATTCGGAAAAAAAAATTAAAAATAGAAAACATTTAAAATTAACATTCAAAACACGAGTGAAATCGCACATGTTTAAAGTTAAGCGCGTAGAGGCTGTGCAAAGCGAGGAGTGCGCAGACACGCAGAGTGGTGTTTTGCGTCATAACTTTGTTGAAAATTGTCCGTTTGAGATGATTTTCTGACCGTTAGATAGACCTTTCCCCCTTGTTTTGGATCTTGTTTGTACTGAAAACGGGAAAAACATGCATCCTTCAAAAATCGGAAAATAGCTGATGATCTAGAGGTTCTCAAAAAACTCTGTAAATGCAGAGTTTTCAATTTAGGTCTGTTTTACACCCTCCACAATTTTGAAAGTGACTGAAAGCTTGACAGCCGAGCTACAGATTTCTGAAAATGGTTTAAATTGCCGAAAATCAATTGAAAAATACGTTTTTGAACAGCTTAAAGTATTCTTTTCAGATTGCTTTAACCTAACTTACTTTCTAATTCGCGTAGTCTCTCCGGATACTGTAGTCAAAAACTTGTCATTTTATATTGCCTGGCCAACCTATAACCTCGGATCTATCCGAGTTTTTCTCGTGTTCTTTATCATCATCGACAGACTTTGCGCATCTTA